CAGTAGGGACTCTGAAATATCAGTATCATCAAGTCTTTTTCCTTAGGTTAATCTAACTCTCCAGAGAAATATTACCCCATCTCCTGCCTAAGGGATGGGATTGGAGTGGGTAAAGAGTTGGCAGGTGGCTCTGTGTAATGTTTTTCTAATTCTTTTTTTTTTTTTTTTTTTCCTGCTGGCCCTTTCCACACTCAAATTGTCCTCAGCTGTGCCTAGTGTCGCCTCATTCTAGACCCTGTCTTACTCATTATTTTTCTGGAAAATAAATCTCTATTCTCCTGCCAGAAAAATATATGTATGTGGAAAGGTCAGGGGGCAAGTGGAGGTTCATTGGGCGTGATCATTGCTGGTTGTGCCAGATACTGGGGAAAATTTTCAGATTTAGATCTCATGTGCCCCGTAGATGTATACACCTACTATGTACCTGCAAAAATTAAAAAGCATTTTTAAAAACCCAGATTTACTTGTTCTTTATATAGACTCTTAATCTTCTCATTTTCCTTCTTACCTATCAAACCCATGCTTTCAGAGGAATCTGTTCCCTGAAATTCCAGAGCTTCTTCTGGGGTCCTGATATGTAAATCATTCTGTTTCTTGTTGGCTGCCCCAAGCCATTTACCACACAACTTTCTTGGAGCAGGCAGGGTGAATACAGCACACACACAGAAAATTATGGATATAGGAACTATTATTTTTTAAAAAAATAAACATGTACCTGCCTCTCAGCCTAATAAACAGAGCATTCCTGCTGCTTTTCGAAGCTTTCCTTGGAGTGTCCCTCCCCAGTCACATCCCCTTCTTCTGTTCTGAGTATAACCATCATGTCAATGGCTTGTACTCATCATGACCTTACTTCTTCATATAGTGTCTCTGCATACACTATATATGTTACTGCTAAATAACATACTTTTTTATTCTACTTGATTTTTAACAGTATATATATATATAAAATATATAAACATTATATAGTGTTTATATATAATATCATAGTGTTTATATATAATATTATATATACTGTGCTTATATGTATAATATTATATGTATAGTGTTGGCCAGGCATGGTGGCTCATGCCTGTAATCTCTGCACTTTGGGAGGCCAAGGCAGTCGCCTGAGATCAGGAGTTCGAGACTAGCCTGGCCAACATGGTGAAACTCTGTCTCTACTGAAATTACAAATATTAGCCAGGCATGGTGGCACATGCCTGTAATCCCAGGTACTAGGTGGGGCTGAGGCAGGAGAATCTCTTGAGCCTAGGAGGCAGAGGTTGCAGTGAGCTGAGATGACACTGTTGCACTCCAGCCTGGGCAACAAGAGCTAAACTTTGTCTCAAAAAAATAAAAAGTCTGTTATTCATATATATATAAATGGAATTATGTTATTTATATATAAATATATGTACATAAATGGAATTAATGTTATTTATATATAAATGGAGTTTTATATTTTTAATATTTTCATTTTGTTGCTTTTCGATCTAGGCTATTTATTTTTAATATTGCTATATAATTTTCCTTATATAAATATCCCACAATTTTATTTGTTCTTTTGACTGTTGATGCAGAATTTAGTTGATCCAGTATTTGCTGGCATATCTTGTGGTTCACACTTGCAATTATTTTTCTGAAGAATTCGACATAATATTACCGGACTGTGTGAATTTGTACCTTCAGCTTGACTAGGCAATTCCAAATTGTTGTCCAGGGGTTGTACCAATTTACATTCCCCCAAAATACATTCACTTCTTAGTGTTCTTCATCCTCTCCAATCTTGATGTTGCCACACCTGCTTTGCAACTTCCTGAATTTGGTTGACATCTCTCATATGTTGTGTGTGGTTCTTTTTTTCCTTTGGCGAATTTCTACTTATTTTGCTCTGCTGTCATTTTAATGGGCTTTCAGAAGGAAGCAGAGATAAATGAATACAAACAGCCCATCATATTTAACTGGAAGATCCACATAGGAGTCTTTTTTCTTTATTTACATCTGGATTATGGTAACAATGTGATTGGTCTCCCTGCTTCAGCCTTTGACACCCTAAAGTATATTCTGTACAAGGAACCCATGAAAATCCTGGAAAATGTGAATCAGATCATGTCACTCCTCCACTCAAAATCCTTCATGGCTTGCATCTTAGAGTAAAAGCCAGTATCTTATCATGACCTGTAGATTCCTACAGCATTTAACCCTCACTACCTCCTCAACATCATCTCCTCCTACTACTCTTGTTATCCCATCCAACCACCCTGGCTTTTTCACTATTTCTTGAATATAACATATGAGCTCATTATGTAGCTTTGTCATATAAATTAGGGTACCTTGGTTTATAGTTGATTCCAAGACTGCAGTATAATCAGGTAAGGATAACATTAATGTGTGAAATAAGGCATCTATACAGGTAACAATTGATTTGTGAAAATGTAACACATTATTTTAGAATAATAATAATTTTTAAAGTTTTTACCTTTGTTTTACAAACTAAATAAACAACATAGAATTAGATTTAAAGATGTAAAACTATACCCAGATTTTCCTTAACAGTTTTGTTTACGTTTTAAACTTCATGTCTTGAAAAGTACTGGAGGTAGGGATTGGGAAGGAAGCCTTAACATTTTAGATGTATACTTCTGTATTGTATGAATAAGGGAAAATATTTAAGAAAATTTATAACACTGTTGCAATGAATTTGAAGGGCTGACCTACACACACCCCTGCATATGCATGCACCCACACATCATCTAAAGTCACTTACTGAATAAACACCGTAGATTAGGATAACTAAGGGGAAAGTCCATTTGAAGTTATGAGAAGAAAACAGACATTTTCAAGCACTTTGCAAGGTTAGAGACTGCATAGAAAATTATTTTGATAAAGGTAAAATTTGAGAAATGGTAATTATTTCCATTTTGGAGATTTACAATGACTCACTCTACACCATAGCTATTCCTATTCTCGATCATTGCTTAATTTTCCTCCGACTAGTTCACCAATCTAAGAAGTGTTGTGTCTTTCTTCTTAAGGTCAGAAAGGACTATAATTTCTGGCTCAGGGAAATTGCATTTTAGCTTGGTGATGAAAATGTACTGTATCAGCATGCTCTTCTGCTTCAGCTTGTTAGAGACCCAAGCAGTATCAAAAGCATTTCTGTTTATTCGACCTAACTAAAAACATACATTTACTCTCGGCTCTAATTTTTAATTTGCTTTTACCACGAGGATTAGGATTCCTGTTCTGTTGCTCCCACTGCATGATTTGAATCATCAATATGGAATCTACCTGCTCTTCTTTCCAGAAAATTCCACCAAAGTCAGTGCTATATTTCTTTTCTATATGATCCTTTGTCTCAAATTATGGGTGTTAGTTTCAGGAATTGTGGTTGCTCAGCTCTTCTTCCCTTTTACAGGAAATTGATGTCAAGTTATTTTCACAAAGATGGAAATGGTATTTGTGTTAGCCATAGAGATCCTCTGCTCTGATCTCCCTACCTGCTATGATAGAGGCACTCGGGCAAGCAGCTTCCAGGTGCCGCCCCTTCCAATCTGCAGGAATATTCACCTGAGGCCATGCTCTCCACAGGTTGAGTGGAGAGCAGTGATTGAGCACTGGGGCACTACTCAATTCAAGACTCCTCTGACAACTTTTGCTTGCCAACAGCCTAGTCAAGACTTTCTCAGAGCCTCAATGCAGTATGAAACTCAGCCTACCCAAGCCTCTTTCCTTCCTTCTCTTCTATCACAGGTGTCACAGCAGCATAACGGTCTGAAGTCTTCCTGTCCTCCTCCTCCTACTCCTCTTCCCTTCATCCTATAGCACTGATCAGCTCATAAGCACTTTGTAAATTGGGCAATGAGGTTGGTTACATGGACATCATTTATAAACAGTGATTTACACACCATTTTTTCTAGTAGACCGGATAATCTTCAGTTGGATCCCTCAGCTCTGCTAGTACTCAAAGCCTTTTACAGCTCTACTTTAAGAAAACTAAAAATGAGATAACTATATGCAAAGTTCCTCCCCAAAGAGGCTCACCCTATCTTTGCCCTCCACATTTAAGGCAGATTTATTCTTCCTCCTGGGTGCACCCGTAGAGCAAATCGACTCCCTTGAACTCCACTTCTATCTCTAACATGTTGGCACCCACAATTCACATTTACACTCCGCTGGTTTTTGCATTTTGAATATCCCGATAGCAGTTTCCAACCACACTGAATTGACCTCTCTGTTCAGGTTGTTTAAGATACCAATTTTTTTGGTTCTATGGTTACAAATTGAATAGGTATGCAGGTTTATTAAGCTATTGTCTTTCAGCTCCAAACTGGCCTGCATTGGTTTCCTAACGCTATGTAACAAATGACCACAAATTCTGTGGCATAAAATGTCATCCTTTGATTATTTCACATTTTCCATGGGTCAGGAGTTTGGACAGGGCTTAGGTGAATCCTCTGCTCAGGATCTCGCAGGGCTGCAATCTTGGTATAAGAATACTGTGATTCTTATTTGGAGCTCAAGAGTCTTCAGAGTTCATTCATGTTGTTGGCAGGTGGCAGCTGTACACCTGAGGTCTCTAATTTTTTCTCTAATTTTTTAGGCAGGGACCACTCAGCTCCTGTAGGCTGCCTGCAGTTCCCTGCTATGTGGCCCCTTTAGGCAGTTTGCAACATTGTTGCTTGCTTTCTTCCAGGTCAACAGGAGAGTGCCTCACTGACTTCCAGTCTCTCTCCTGTTGGCTGTGACTGAGTCTTAGATAATTGCGACATAACCACTACAGTGACTATCCCAGCACTATTTGCTGTATTATGTAACCTAATAAAAGAAGTGACCGTCCCATCATATTCACAGGTTCCGCCAACACTCAAGGGTAGCAGTTGTCTACAAGGCAGGTACCCAGGAAGTGAAAATCTCTAAGGTCCTCTTAGAATTCTACCTACCACACTGCCCTCTGGACTCTGCTTTATGATGTTGGGGCTGAAACTCGGCTAACCATGTTTCTTCTTGACCACCAGCTTCCTTGGAAGTTCTGTCAGTGTTGGGCATAAAGAGAGGTGGAAAGACTGGAGAAGAGAAGGGTCATTCCTTCCTGGTTATGCTGTTCCTGTCAGCACTGCTTCAGCAACAGCCCTTCCCTCTGGTAAGAGTGGTTGGTTTCAGTCTGTAGTTTTTTGGCAATCCCCAAAACAACCTCATTATGTCCCCTCAAAGCTCTAAAACCATGTTCTATGAGACATCTCCAAGCACTTCATTTGGTCCCTTCTAGTTTCTAATAACCCCATTTTTGTTCCTTTTTCCCCAAAACCTAGGTTGGGAACAATGTTCTTTTGTTACTCCGTTTGGATTATCTCAGTGTTTCTTTTTTACTTTTTCAGTAAAACATACAAGTACTCCAACGCTTGTTTAATCAATTTCTTATATTAATTTCCTTCTGAAATACAATTGATGTAGTTTCTATATTCATGACTTGACTCTGGCCACTGCAATACATTTTAAATAGTCTGCCCTACTGCCATTTTTTCCTAAGGTCTCTTATTTTAGTGGAAGATATTGTTGAACACAGGTTCTACAAAAATGCATATATTGAGTTATAACAAACATGTTTGTAATCACCTAAATTTTTAATGACTAAATCTTCTATCGTATGTATGCACCATAATTTATTTATTCAGTCCACCATCTTGGTTATTTCGAACATTTTGCTATTACATATAATCCCATGATAAACATCCATATATGCAAATGTTTGCCCACATCTCAGCTTCTTCCTTAGAATGAATTCTTAGAAGTGAAATTATGAGGCTGAAAGATGAAATTTTTTTTTTAGTTTTGGATATCAAATTTTCTTTCTGAGAAGTTATGACAATTTAAACTCCACCAACCATGAATGAGGATATATATTCCTCTATCCTCTATGCTCTCACCAACACATTGCTTTCCTTATCTGTTAAAATAGCTGACATTTTGATAGATGAAAAATGGCATCTCATTTTAACTCATTTTTAATGTTCAAAAATCTTTCTATATGTGTGTTTGACATGTTTATTTCTTCTTTTGTGAATCGACTGTCATTGTGCCTTTTCTAATCACTCCCACCAGAAGAGACATTATGTTCCTTTCAGCGTCAATAATACTTTATTTGCATTTGGCATTTACTATACTCTGCTACTACTCCACCACTGGTATGGGAACATTTTTGTGTTTCTTTTTTTTTTTTTTTTTTTTAGATAGCTCTGTCGCCCAGGCTGGAGTGCTGGAATGCAGTGGTGTGATCTTGGCTCACTGCAACCTTTGCCTTCGGAGTTAAAGCAATTCTCCCGAATAGCTGAGACTACAAGCCCATGCCACCACACCCAGCTAAACTGTTGTATTTTTAGTAGAGATGGGGTTTCACCATGTTGGCCACACTGCTCTCAAACTCCTGACCTCAAGTGATCCACCTGCCTCCATTTTTCTGTTTCTCTTAATTGTTATCACAATCTATTACTTTTCTCAAAAGCTTACTCTTCATATTGTTTACTCCATTTTACATCCTGCATAGAAATTCAAGATCCTAGCAGAATTTGTGCTATACCAGTAAACCCTCCCTATGTAAGGACAAACTCAAAAACTTGCAATGGGAATTAGACTGGAAGATTCCTTAGACTCTCTCCAGCTCTTATATTTTGTGTTTCTCTGGTTATATTTCAGGTCCTTCTCTGGCAAGCTGTATTCTTCAACCCATTTGATAGTTTCTGAATATAAACTATGCATAACTTTGAGAGATCTTCCCATTCCAATGAACTTGAGTGAGCACCTGTAAAGCGGAAACACTCAACTTTATAAATTAACCATTATAAAAGTTTATTTCCATGAGATGCCAATATGTCAAATATTTAGTAATAACTCTCTGATGTAACATATATTCAAATATATTATTCTACTTGTTTATTGACTTTAGATAAATTATTTAGTATCTCCAATGCTCACATTTTCTGGATGAGAGATGGGTATAACAATAATTAATTTTAATTGAATAAATAAATAAAGCACTTTTAAGAAAATTAAGTGATAAAATATATGTCAAGTCTTTAGCACAGTGTCTGACAGAATTCAACAAATATTTAGGGAGTTCCTATTATGTTTCAGGTACTCTTCTAGGTTATGGGAACATAAAAATCAATAAAGCATAGACTTTCTGCTTGACTACTGCCCTCACTGAACTTAAATTCTAATGAAAGAGATGAGCAATTAACAAATAAATAATAAAATATGGAATGTATTCAATGGGGTAAATAAAATGGAGAAAAACAAAGAGGAAGAGTGAGGAGTGCAGGCCGATGCAGTAGGGGAGGAGGAGTGAAAATTTTACAAAGGGCCATCTGGAAAAGCCTAATCTAAAGGGCACATATGAATAGAAATCTGCGAATATTGGCTGGGAAAGCTAAAGAGAGAAATTGGCAAGTACAGTGTTCAAGTAGGGGAGGGCAGAGAAGAGCATGCTAATCTTCTGATACAAATGACAGAGACCACAACAAATAAGCAAATAAAAAACCAAACAGAAAAAGACGATTAAGACAAATAGAGACCATGCAAGGAGAATAAAATTTCAAAGAGAGAAACCTACCATTAATATTCTCTGAATGCTAACAAAAGAGATATTATAAAAAGTGTCATTCAGAGATTAAAAAGAGAGCTGTTGGATAATGTAACATGATAGACATTTTTAAAAATCAGTAGAAGGTTTGGAAGCTAAAACTGAAGCAATCTTCCAGAAACTAGATGAGAATAAGAGGTGGAGGAGATTGCCAGGATAAAAACTATGCACCACTCCAGAGGTGATCTGTCCTCATTGACTTCAAAAGACAGAAATGTTGAGGGTTGCCATCAACAAGACGACCTCTTGTTAAACCTTCTTTAAATGGACAATAATTAGGTGAGTCTGCCTAATTTTTATCTGCCTATGACTTGCCCGGACCATGTCCTGATGAAAGTTTTATGCTCCTCTTTATAGTGAGATGTTGATTCAGCTGACCACACTTATTTCATCCCATAGAAATATTCTACTTTGAGCTGCTTCTGAGAGCTGAAGGTTAACCAATGTGAACTTAAAAGAGAAACTTCAGAGCAGCCCAGTTCCTTAACTATACTCTTGCTGGATGAACAACACCTGACTCATACAACATCCCTACCAAATGCCCCAATTTTGGTAGGCCCTATTCCCAAAGCCTTGTTCACTAATTTCCCCAGGAGATATTTTTGCAAGCTCTCCAGGAAACTAAAGTCAGTAAATAGTGCAGGAATTTTGTTCCATTAAATCTCTCTGGGGAATTTTCAATTCTCATTAACAATATTGCCTTTTTCCATAACTTGGTTTATGCTTGTACTTCATTTTTTATTAATCATTCTTCATATTTGATTATATTTAAAGAATTGTTGACAAATTATAAAATATTTTAAACATTTTTTGAAAAAAATAAAATTGAAACTTAAAAAATACTATCAAGGAAAAAGCAGATTCAAAAAATGAACCAACTAGAATTTCTAGAAATGAAGAAAAGAAGAGAGTAATTAAAATTAAAATTGGCAACTACATTGATTAACCAGTAGAAAAAAAAAGTACTTTTGGGAGTTCTGCTTCTAGTATAACTGAATAAACTGTTAACAAATTGACCTCCTGCAGATAACACTTACATATCCTGGACAAAATATAATACTCAACGACCTGGCTGGGCGTGGTGGCTCACTTCTGTAATCCCAGCAGTTTAGGAGACTGAGGCGGGCAGATCATGTGAGGCCAGCAATTGAGACCAGCCTGGTCAACATGGTGAAATCCCATCTCTACTAAAAATACAAAAATTAGCTGGGTATGGTGGCACATACCTGTAGTCCCAGCTACCCGGGAGGCTGAGGCACTAGAATTGCTTGAACCCAACAGGCAGAGGCTTCAGTAAGCTGAGATTGCACCACTGCACTCCACCCTGGGCCACAGAGCAAGACTCTGTCAAAAACAAACAAACAAACCAATGACCTGAAGTATTTGGAGAATAAACAGAAGCAAGAATATTCTGGAGGATAGAAGGGATCAGAATAGCGTGAGATTACTGATGTATTTTTCTTTCAGCCTGTGGAAAGCTGCAGTCACTGGGCAGCTAAAATGATGAAATCCTGCATTATATACAACAGGAAGATCCAGAGAAAAGAGCAAAGGGAAACAAAGTCACTGAAAAATAATGTAGAAAGACAGAAAAGATGATAGTCAAGGATTAGGAATTCCAAATTCTGTGTACAAACTTTCTGTTCAAGTATCTGTCTACCCCTTGTACCGTGTGTGTAGGGAAGACTGTGAACATTCCAGCTAAGAGGGGAAAAAATTAAAATGATATTTTAGCTGCTTCCAAATAACACAGTATGCAATTTTAGTCTGAACAAATTAATTGCCTACCAAAAATATATATATTTACTCTCTTCTTTAAAGGAACATGACAAAAAAATTAACAATCTTCACTTCATAATATTCAAATTTTCCAGGATATAATCCAAAATTATTCAAAATATTATTTCAAAAACAGTAAAATGTGACTCAGTATCAAGGGAAAAGGCAATCAATGGAGACCAATTCTGAGACATAAGATCCAAATATAGGATTTAATAAACAAGTGTTTTAAGCAACTACCATAACTATCTCAATGAGGCAAAAGAAAATATACTCATAATGACCCAATTAAATGAAAAAGCTTCTGCACAGTAAAATAATAATAATAATAATCAGCAAAGTAAATAGACAACACAAGGATGGGACAAAATATTCACAAACTATGCAACCAACAAAGAACTAATATCCAGAATCTATAAGAAACTCAAACAAATCAGCAAGAAAAAAAAGCAAACAATCCCATCAAAAAATGGGCTAAGGACATGAATAGACAATTCTCAAAAGAAGACATACAAACAACCAGCAAACATATGAAAAAAAGCTCAACATCACTAGTGATCAGGGAAATGCAAATCAAAACCACAATGAGATACCATCTTTTTCCTGCAAGGATAGCCATAATTAAATTAAAAAACAATAGATGTTGGCATGTGTGTGGTGAAAATGCAACACTTTTACACTGCTGGTGGGAATGTAAACTGGTACTAGCTCTATGGAAAGCAGTGCGGAGATTTTCCTTAAAGAACTAAAAGAAGGTCTACCATCCAATCCAGCAATTCCACTACTGGGTATCCACCCAGAAGAAGAAAAGTCATTATATGAAGAAAACACATGCACACACATGTTTATAGCAGTGCAATTCACAATTGGACAAGTATGGAACCAACCTAAGTGCTCATCAACCAACAAGTGAATAAAGAAAATGTGGTATATATACACTATGGAATACTACTCAGCCATAAAAAGGAATGAAATAAAGTCTTCTGAAGCAACTTGAAAGGAGCTAGAGGCCATTATTCTAGGTGAAGTAATTCAGGAATGGAAAACAAAATTTCATATGTTTTCATTTATAAGTGGAAACTAAGCTATGAGGATACAAACGTATAAGAGTAATACAAGTGACTTTGGGTACTACTTTATGGTACTACATATTTGGGTATAGTGTACACTGCTCAGGTGTTGAGTGCACCAAAATCCCAGAAATCACCACTAAAACACTTTTCCATGTAACCGAAACCACCTTTATCCCAAAAACTATTGAAATAAAAATAAAAACTAAAAAAAAGAAAATATACTCACAATGAAATAAAATAAAGGAAATCTCAGTAAAAAAGTAGAAAATATAAAAAGTAAACAAATGGAAATAATAGACCTAAATTAAATTTAAAATATCTATATTAAAGCATTCACAAGGTGATCCAAACAGAATAATGAAGATGATAAACAGCCAAAGAGAAACAGAGGCAAAAAACAAAGCAAACAAATAGGAATAAATAACAAAATGATAGAGCTAAATCAGTAGATGAGACTTCTTCAGTACATTTTTTCAATATAGTTCCTCTGGACCTAAAGACCTGCAAACTAAAAGGACCAGTTATTCACCACTCCCATCAACCCTTCTCCTTCAGAATGTTTCCTTTGGCTCTGTCCTCTGAGCTAAGTGCTGGGTTCTGCCCTCTGAGTCATCCTTTCTTTTCCGTAAGAAATGGCCTGAGTTTGCAACTTAAGAAGCAGACTGAGAGTCTGCTTCCTGCACACAGAAAGTTGGGGAACCAAAGGTCTGTTTTTACTTTGCACTAGCTCTGTCTCTTCTAGTCCTCTTTGTCAGTTCCATCAATATAATCTCCATTAAAAACTTTGTGGATTTTCTATGAATGTCATTGGGATTCACCTATTAGATAAAAGAGCACTCATGATCTTTTTGAGACATGCTACTCTCTATCTTGGGTCAATGCTGTCAAGACAATTAAAAATCCTATTGTTTATCAGAGAGGGTCTATGAGACACACCCAAAAAACTTTAGAATATGAACAGTTCATTCTTTGGTTTACTTCCCTCTTCTCCTACTTCATCAGTGGCAAATAAAACCCCAAGTTGCCACTTTTTATATTTTTCATGCAAATCTCCCCAAAAAGATCTAGGAGTTCATTGGGAACTCCTTCTACTTCCATCCTGTGGCAGGTGACAACGTTACCCAACTTTCCACCATTACAAACTAAGACCCCTAGCTTCTCATATTTTTCTCACTGTCCTTCAAGTCCTCACAATAATCTCTTTGAGGCCTTTCTAGTTTTACAGTTTCATGGAGGCTTTTTCCTGCTTTTACTTACCACCTACATGCAAAGGCCATGCTTTAACTTCTTTTTATGGGGATACGCCCTTCCCATTACCAAATTCTCAGTCAGCTTTTTATTGCTATATAAACTCCCAAAAAAATTGATGG